AATTAGTAAAACTATATATGTCATTGAGATTTTCAAGGAATATTTCAAAAATATCTTCGAATGAAATCTACAAGAAATCTTAAAAAATCTGTCGCTTGAGATATTTCGCAAAGATTACAAAGAAATATTTAGAAATTATTCTATGCTACTAGTACCCTAGTAAGGACAACCGTCGTTACATGCGACATCTTTTGACTTTTGGCCAATTAATCCTTTCGAATATGCTCGTTCCATTGGGAGAAATTTCGTCGAATTCGCTATCTTATGTACGTAAGATCGCCAATATTTACAGGATGTAATATTCGATTTCATCATCGACCATGAGTATCGACTCATCGGAGCTGAAACTTTCGTAGATGCACCAGCCTTTCTCCCGCGTTCTTGCTGAAATCTTGCAAGGTAATTGGAGAACTTTCCTTACGTCACTGGTCTTGGGAACGCAAGAAGTAATCACTGCGTGACTGTGCGCTTCGGCACGAGTCACGTGATCCCGATTCTTCCCGAAGTTCACCGACCCTCGAAGTTCTGAACTTCCAAAGAGACAATTATAAGGACCTCGACTTTGTGATAAGAAGTAAATTATCCGTAAGAATACTAATTATACGTTTTATTTCTTATTTATTAATATGTTCCGTATAAATAATGTACGCATACGTGTATGCAATGATTAATGATCATATATAAGTATAAGGCTTTAATCTTTGTACATTGACATATGGCCGAAAGTGATCTTTGACTCTTTGAAACCTGACCTTTCGAAGTGATGTTTCTTCTGCGTTAAAAAATAGTCGGAAAAAAAGGATCGCTAAATAAAAATCGATGATTCATAACCGCGTCATAGATGGGTGCAATAAAAAAAATCATATTACTGCGCGGTGGACTTTCGTCGAGGTACCGGCATGGCTTTTCCCGTGTTTTTATTGAAATCTCCCGAAGTAATTGAAGAACTCGCTTTTTACGTCATTGATTATGGAGAACCCGAGCAGAGTCTGTGGGATTGTAAATCTCGAACTTCTTTTTTTACGGAATTCCCCAACTTTTTGATAACAGGCTTAAGGGGATGTGAAAGTGGCATCCGATAGCTCAGTCGTTCATAAAACTTTTCTACGAACTGAGTGTCTCAAATCCTATCATACTTTAAAACGTGAATATGGAGACCCTAAGGTAGGTCTTGAAACTCGCGAAATTTCATTTTTTATCAAATATTTTTAAAATGCCTATAAACAAATTTGAAAGTCTCAACAAATTTGAGTGTCGCAAATCCTTTCATACTTTAAAACGTGAATATGGAGACCCTAAGGTAGGTCTTGAAACTCGCGAAATTTTACGTTTTAGAAAAGATGATTAAAATACCTATAAATAAATTTGAAAGGAATTGAAATTTCACGAGTTTCAGAACCTTCCTAATAGTCTTTCTATTTGCGTTGTAAAGTTTCAAATTATTCGGTAAACCGAGTTGGGAGAAAAGTTTTATAAACAAAACCTCTTCGACGCCACTTTCACGTCACCTTAAACTTTAGACGGACCAAACAAAATTTCCGGGTAGATCTTAAAAAATTGTATTCAATAAATTTCTTAAAAAATACCACGTACTTAATTTTGTAATGAACAATTTTACATAGACTGCAAGAATGTTCTTTTTGTAATGTCAAATCATTGACATATTTGCGGTAATCGATTTTAGAGCGATACGTTGCCTGACAGCTGTGTACAGTGTAGGACATTCTAATATTTTACTCATACTTCATTATATCATATTTTACTCATTACTCATTTGTAATCATTTTGCCCAGCTAATCGTATCTTTTCCTTGTGATCTTTTTATTTGATCGATTTATTTTAACCCTTTGGGTGCTAAGTACTTTCGGCGTATGGGCGAATTTCGTCAGGGCGTGCTAGCGATATTCGACTAAACGTCGGACGCACATATATGTCGACAGCGCTCAAAGGGCTAGCAGTACGTTTGTGTAGAATTGGAAACCAGTTGGAATGACACTTGACGATTCATAGATATGCAACTTAATACTAAACATTGTTACTCATCGTTAACATCGATGCTATTGGATTGCAAACTTTTTCGCATATCATGTATTGCATGAAATGATAATCAGAAATGTTCTAATGGTAATGGAAGGTCACGTACTGACTCCTAAAAGACAATGGTTGGATAATTTAAATATCTTTTAGCCGAACTTATTAAATATATTGTTCAAAATTTAAATCAGTGAAGATTTATATCAAACTAAATAATAGCACATTTTCGGAATGCGTTGGAAGATCAAAATACTCGATTTGGATAAACAACATAAAAACTATACCCTGATTTATATAATGGTAATGACAAAATGTAATACTATTTTGCGGCTAATGTACTATCAAGCGCTAATTCGCGTTATCACCCGTTTTATTTATAACTTTTTTTATGTAAATTGTTAAGTCAATTAAGTTGTTAGAACATGACTGGAGCAATGTTGCACGTGAGTTTTAATACGTGCAACTGAATCATTGGAAATTACAAGTTACGTGAATATATAAATGTTGCAGACGCATGTTAATGATTCAGTTTCATGTACGTATGAAACATATATGTATTTAATTCACGTGAAATCCTTTTTTTGTACCCGTGGGAAGTGATCAGTGACGTATATTAATAGGAAATGGTCTAAGGAAAAATCCTGTTTATTACGACATTACACGTATGACTACAATGGCAATACGGCTTATAGTAATCGCAACACAACGGACAATCTTCGTCATTTGCATTGTTGAGCACAAACACATATGTCAATGCTAAAGTACAAGGTTTTATCATTTTTATTCCTCATTTCTTTGTACGAGCAAATTCCTCTAGTACGTACAGTTATCAAGAAACTCTCCTCCTCAAAAATAAAAAAAAAATCCAAAAAATTAGTACGACGAATAAAATCAGGAATAATTGACTCACAAAATTGGTAGGACTTATTTCCCTCTGGCTATATTTTAAAATTTCATAAGGAATTGTTGATCATCAAATTTAGAGGAGCAAATTCCTCTAGTACGTACAGTTATCAAGAAACTCTCCTCCTCAAAAATCAAAGAAAAATCCAAAAAATTAGTACGACGAATAAAATCAGGAATAATTGACTCACAAAATTGGTAGGACTTATTTTTCTCTGGCTATATTTTAAAATTTCATAAGGAATTGTTGATCATCAAATTTAGAGGAGCTAATTCCTCTAGTACGTACAGTTATCAAGAAACTCTCCTCCTCAAAAATCAAAGAAAAATCCAAAAAATTAGTACGACGAATAAAATCAGGAATAATTGACTCACAAAATTGGTAGGACTTATTTTCCTCTGGCTATATTTTAAAATTTCATAAGGAATTGTTCATCATCAAATTTAGAGGAGATTTCAAAAGTGTCAGTTTTTATGAAAAATATGTTATATATGTCACTTAGAGTAAGTCAAGCGAGGCTTTTAAGACTCTGTCTCCTTCTCTGTTTCTCTGTTAAGACTCTATCAAATGTGGAGAAGTCGTAGTGAAAAAATCGAACTTTGAGCGGTAGATAGGTACTCTTAAACGCTATTTAGATTTAAGATGCTTTCCTTAAAACATAATGATGTTATTAGCGACTAACAAGATCATTGTGATAAGAACGCTCGACTGGTTGAGAATATAAAATAGTACTATTTTATATATTTGAAACTCTTGAAAAATATTGCGCAAACACGAGACCAGTCGTTAAAAGGTTCTTGAAACTCGTTATCGCTCTTTATGTACAGTGTAAAATAATTCTTGATTGCAAAGAGATAAAATTAATTAGTAACTTTGCAACAGCTAGTACATCACATATTAACCCTGTGAAATAGTACTATTTTATATATTTAAAACTCTTGAAAAATATTGCGCAAACGCGAGACCAGTTATTAAAAGGTTCTTGAAACTCGTTATCGCTCTTTATGTACAGTGTAAAATAATCCTTGATTGCAAAGAGATAAAAGTAATTAGTAACCCTGCAACAGCTAGTACATCACATATTAACCCTGATAAGGTGCAGTAATAAGTATATCACGGTGTAGAATAACATTGCTAGATTTCTTATGTAATTGGAATTCATTGATTGGTCATTTTCAATACTTCAAATACAAGTATTCTTTAAAAAATAGTCATTTAGTCAAGTCGATAGTGAATTAAACAAATTGTTCATTCTTTTTTATTATTTTTCAAAATCGATAATAATTTTGTAAAGCGATAATCGCAAGTAAGTGCGGTTTTTTATTTACTTGAAATATTTGTTAACTTGTGTTCAGGAAGCAATTTTGTCCATTTTTATCACGAAAATAGTTTCGACTATACATCATTCGGTATTGTAAGGTTCTGTCATTAGACGAAGCAGTGTGTGTAATTATGCCTTTACATAATCTATTTCACAGACTTCTGTGATTACGTAAAAATGTTTCTACGTCTTTCACAGTCCAGGTAGATTAGAATTATTTCCAATTTGTCTTTTTTTTCATTATTAAACGGACCTTCATCAGATGTTATAAAAGTCTATGAATTCGGAAATGGTGTACAGATCTTATTTACATTGTTACGTTTAAGAAACGTTGAATATCACATTCCCCTGTAAAATTATAGGTATGAGAAGTATAACAATAATTCTTTGCAAATTTGAACATCTGTACAAATGAATTACTGTAGAGCTCGGAAAAAAATAGCTTCTTGCATTAAATATAGAAAGTAATTCGAACGGTCTTGAACAAGATTAGAATCAAGCTGATTTTTTGCAGATTTAAAATAGTGCAACAATTATTGTATTCCATATTGATTCAACTGCAAGAAGCGTAAGAAATATAATTCTAATGGGAAACTATACGATACAAAGTCGAAAATATTTCCACTTTGCAGGTTCATATTTTGTATTACCCTTGGTGTCAAATTGCAATATTGTTTATCGTTGTTTCCATGAAATTCTGTCATTTTTCGGTGCAACCTTGTTCCTGGGACGCCTAGATGTGTTATCAACGGCCTCGTGTTTCAGCCTTTCTGCCCGAACTTTTTGTTCACTTCTGTTAACATCCTTGGGGGCAATCTTGTTCTGAATTTTATCTTCAAATTGCGATGATTGCGGGAGGAAGAAATTTCCCAAGCTGAAGAAGTTTTGTTGTCCCGGTCCTTCGTCAACTTCCTCCCATACTTCGTAGCCATTGTTGTCTCCGTTTCCATTACCTGAAATTCATGTCAATTTACTAAAAACGATAACCTAAGAATCATATTACATTAACCCACGTTATTAAAAAAATCAGGAAGACTCCATGTACTCAAATAATGAAGAAAATCTAAAAATGTATTATTTCATCGGAGTTAACATTGAAATATACTTAATAAAATCTTCTTAAACATTCATGTGTCTGACATTGAAGTCATTTCAACTCCTCAATGTTCAATTCTACTATATTCTTTCCTTAGGAGAACTTTAATAAATCGAACAATAAGAGATTGAACTTTCATATCAGACGTTAGGAACAATGCACGCGCATTACTAAACAAGCATAAACATATTGTTTATATCAATGGGAAAATGAAGTGCTCTGCTCATCCAATGTTCATCACATGATTATAGAACCGGATATGAAAAGGGTAGTATACTTCTTCATCTTTTTGGCATGAACAATTACAGTGAGCGTTTCAGAGTTAATAATAGGTACATTTCAGTGATAGCAATTATATACATTCTATAGATAGATGATTCTACATATAGAATATTCGGATAATTTCATCGAAAGGACTAAATATATTTTTAGCTTTTAACACTTCTGAAACCTTTAAGTACATACAGTACATTAAACACTTTACAGGAGCTGATTGTGAGTACACAGATGAAAACGTTATGCAATAAAAATAATAAAAATACGATCCTTATCCTGGTTAGAGCATATAATGTTACATTTAGATACAGCGAGTAAGTTAATAGACGAACGTACATTCTCATCCAATAGAAATAAACCGAGGCTACTGCTAATGCTCATGGCATAATTATCTCAATTTGTTACGTCCATCTGCCTTTCATAGCTCTTCGTCGAGACATCATGTTGCGTGTAATTGCGCGGTAATGTAGCCATACACTGACGGCTTCGAAGTGTTAAATTACACGTAATATCTCTACGACCCATAATATGAATTTTTTTTGTATTCCGTTACCATGACCTCCGTGTCCGCCACCATGATTTCCAAGAATGGCGCCAATTCCACCGTGTCCCCCGTTGTGGCTTCCAAGAATTCCCCCATGGCCTCCATGGCCTCCATGACCTCCAAAGATTTCTCCAAATCCACCATGGCTGCCACCAAAGTGGCTTCCCAAAGTTTGATGGATCCCCCCAACGCCGAAAATGTCCCCTATGCCCCCAAATACCCCATGGTTACCGACCAACCAATTAGATACCGAATTTAATCCAAATGGATCATTATGGTAATGCCGGATAATCCTTTGTTGTTGTCTTTGAAGCCTTTGGTCCGAAATTCTGTCTTTCTTCTCTAGGTGGCGTCGGCGGATTTCGTCTATTGTCTCTTGGCGTCTGTCTGGAGACGTGTTTTTCACGAGATTACCAACTGCTTGTAATGTTGCTACCGGAATCTGAAAGTGTACAGGTATATAATTAAAAATATTGCCGGACTGTGATAGAAAAATCGTGATGCTTCGTCATTTTTTATTGAGATTCTAGGCTTGCGACATAGTCATGTGTTAGATGGTAGGAGAGATCGAAAATTTATTAATGGAATCTTTTAACGAGATTGATGTTACCAACAGTTTTTATGTTGAAAATACCCAAAATAGAGTGTATTGTTTCAAAGTTTTTGTTTAACACGAATTACCACGCCGGTCAAAATGACTGGTTCTATAATTGTTCTATAATTGTATTTTAAAATTCATACTTCACGTTACATTTTTTTTTTCGCAATGATGTATTGACTTTTGTAGCGTTAACTAAAGAAACAATATAATAAATTTTATTCTTTGTTTTGTTATTCACAATCAGAATAATTTTGCATCATGACTACTTATACCAAGACCAGTCAAAATGACTGGTACTTCTCAAACTGTAAATGGGTCCTACAATTTGTTTACCGAACCCGAATTAACCAGTTTCCTCGTTTTGTACAATTTCTCATAAGTTTTTAGAATTTTTATTGAATATCATTCAATATGATGGTGATAAATATCAGGAAAATTCTTAATGCATCATGAGGCGAATGCAAAAATATTGCATTAATTCGGAAATATCTTTAGTTGTTCAATTCGATGTAGAGATGTATTTTTCGATCAATATCAATTATTGAAGGCTCTGATATGAGAAACGAAAGGGTCAGGACAATTTTTCCACAATTTAGAACACTCTGGTAATCGATAAACTTGCATTTGAACGGACTAAATGCAAAAAAAGTGTCTTATGCGCTTTTGTGCTATAACGATGGGAATACGAGATCCCGGAGTGAAAATTTAATTGACCTGGAAATCACAGATGGCGCAGGGTGCCCTTCTGCAGTGAATTAGGGCCCCAGAAAGCATGAACTCAGAGGATTTCTGGAGTTTTACTTCGATTTCTTTATAATTATTGTACGAAAACGACAGGTGAAGTATGCCATTTGGTACAATATCCAATATAATTCGACACAGCTGTCAATGTAAAAACCAACGTCGGCAACATAGGTACTTAGAAAAATCTTCTTTATCGACATTGATCAAGTTCCTCGACGTATTTCACTCCACCTTAATATTATTATATGTCATCGTTCCCGAAGACTTAGGAAGTGGCAACGAAAATATGGCCAATAAATTGCAATAAAATTTGTTACCTACTTGGAAAACACTGTTGATCGTAGCGGTGTTGTCAGGGGAGATTGCCTGTGCAGCTGCAGCTGTCTGTTGGATAGCTGTGATAGGTATCTGAAATGTCAGAGTGATCTTTGAAAGTGAAAACTGCTCCCGGTACAGAATACTTCACCTATTTACTCACATTGAAGATACTGTCAACAAATTGGCCATTTTGAGAAGGACCATTCTGCCTTTTAATCCTGCTATGGAAGCTCTGAAATCAAATCATTACCCATAAAACAAATGATATATAAATCATTTTTTAATCATTCAAGTCATCTTTAATGGGAGAAAATGTGTTTTTCTAAATTACTTAAAGGAATCGGTTTCAATAACCAAAATTGTTCCGCTTGAGCCGTAATAAATAAAATACTTGCTTATATTTATATTCGCGAAGTATTCTGTATTTTCAGACTTATAAGTTTTTTGCATTAATTTCAAATTACATGGTTTTCGAGAATATCCAATTTTAAATAAGTTTCCTTTCAGTATCCTATGTAAAAAAAAAATAAATTTTTTATGTAGTAAATACGGAATATCTTGGAAATAAATTGTAAAATACAGCTTAGATGCGAGTAATAGTTCGAGATTTGATACGGGATTAGATTAGTGATTGCAGTATAATTATTTTTTAAAAATCAGCAAGCATCGCGGTTTGCAATCAGTTGTCAAGTCTGATTTTTTAAGGAATACAAATGTTCGTACTTAATTGTCTACGTTTTCTCATGTTTTTGCCCACGCATGTTTTCAAGTTACAGAGTCATAACTATTCAGAATTGACAGTCCACGTTGACCAAACATATTTACATGTGCATAGATAGCATACATACACGTTGCGGGTTATCTTTGCTTTCACTTTGCACCATGCGTGCGATTACGCAGAGGATTACGTGCCTTTTACCTCGAGGACAAATTGGGTAAAATATACTTTTAAAAGATTATTTGAACTGTTCCAAACGTCGGTTCATTATTAAAGTGAAAGTTGATGACACAATTTTTGGTGGGCAGGGTGAAATCGATTTAATTTTATTCCCACGACTATTATTATTTTTATCATTTCGACCCAGGGCAATTTATATGCTAATATTTCTTAAGAGTAATGAAAATTAGGCTACGACCCGCATGTTTTTTACGGCACCCATTGGATGATGACACTAATTACGTGTAATTGAAAGTATTACGTAAATGTGTACATTTTTCTTGGTTTTGTATAAATGGGATTTGGATTTGTAAAGAATTGATATCGTTACATTTTTATGGTTAATGCCACACGGGGGTAAATAAACTGGGGAATCAAAGATTAATCACTGTTTTACAAAAGTAACGTAATGTTATTATATTATAATACGAAATCATTCTTTACGTTATTTTTCCGTAAGCCATTATTAATCTTCATCGAAGTAAAGTAATTTGTTCTTGTAATCACAAACGTTATGTTTGTGATTGCGGTACGCAGTAGAATACAATTAAATAATCTCTTTTTTTTTCAATAAGAACATTAATCAGAATTGATATAAAACTATTGTTAATTTCTTTTTATTCCGAATCATTACCATGCAAATGAAATTGTTTGGTTTAGGAGTTTTTACTTTATTTTATAATTATTGTACTCAACATGAAAAGCTGGTGTAAATAAAAAATACCATTTCCGCAAATAAACACATTTTTCTGTCATATTGTTTCAGAGTAAAACGTTCCCAGCCCGAGAAACATTGGATAGTGAATTCCGCATTTTTGTTGAATATTTTTCAAATTTCTTCAACTAATTTGCTGCTGTAAATCAATTACTACCAAAAATGATTTCAATATCGATGATTATGTTCATTATTTTTCAATCTCTTGTTAACCGATACCAATAAAATTTATTATTGTAAAACAACTGTCTAATAGATACAAAATCAACAGGCATGTAATATTAAAACAGAAGTTTATTAGTTCCATTCCCATAATTCTATTGTTTATGAGGAACCTAAAAATATACTCTGAAAAATATCGACGGTCCAGATTTTGCCGAAAGAAAAGAAATAAATATACCCTAGTAGTACAAAATATTTTTCCTATATTTTCTATATATTTAACGAATACCGTACATTTTGTAATTATTTACCAGACATTTAAAATATTTGCAAAACGTTTACTTTAGAATATCATCTCTATAATATTTACATAATATTAGCTCCACGTGTTTTCATAATATTTTTCTACCAGATATACAAAACATTTCGTTTCATTTTAATACAAGTATTTTTTTTCCAATAATAGTCGTGAAGTAAACATGTATTTTTGTTACATGTTCATAAATTAAAAAATATAATTTCTATATATGTTTACAAATGATTGAAACTAAATATGTCAAAGAGATTTTCACGAAATATTTAAAAAATATCTTCGAATGAAATCCACTTTGGAATCTTAAAAGATCTGTCGCTTGAGATATTTAGCAAAAATTACAAAAAAACATTTAGAAATTATTCTACGCTACTAGGGCAAACTTTTGACAAACCTGAAAGTCCGTGGCACGAGCATCCACGTTAACGAGAAAAATTACGGCAACGACCTCCCTTATTGAGATATTTAGCAAAGATTACAAAGAAACATTTAGAAATTATTCTACGCTACTAGGGTAAACTTTTGACAAACCTGAAAGTCCGTGGCACGAGCATCCACGTTGACGAGAAAAACTGCGAGGACGACCTCCCTTAATCCAATCATCTCCTCTTCTCCAATGACACTTGTCCTCGTCTTCGGTGACCCTCTTGCACATGTGAATCGTAATAAAATGATTGGTCCTCCGATCTGGAGGGGTCTTTAAGGGCAGCCGGGGCCAGTCCCACGCCATCCTCCGACCAATCCGGACGCTCGTGGACGATCCTCGCAGAAAGCACTTTCTAGTATCGCAATCCCCATATTATTGCATTTTTATTGTTCGCCCGGATTCGCCACACGCGTAGGTCGAATTCGTGGGTTACACAACCGACGAGTCGAGCCCCGGGCAAACTTGTTCGACTGAGACCACAAGTGGTAGCACAGAGCTCGAGAGATCGACAACCTCGGAAAGGTCGATCCTTTCCAAGTACCGATTACCTATGTCGATCCTGCGTCTTACATGCATACTTATCGGAGATAAGGTTAACCGCCTTTTTCGCGGCCGCTACTGCGTACAACTAAAAGAACATTAGCTATGATTGGGCACGGACGCATATAGTCTGCAAGACCACGCATTCTGGAATTTTAATTAATAAATTTAATTTATGTTACGAAATTATTAATTTAATTTATGATACGAAATTATTAATTTAATTTATGTTACGAAATTATTAATTAAATTTATGTTACGAAATTATTAATTTAATTTATGTTACGAAACTTAATGAATTTCCAAATTAACACATTCGCGACCGCTGACGTGAATTCACGTCTTTTCAAGTTCCATTCCTGGTTGCCGCTGACGTCAATTCACGTCATTTTAAATTCTATTCCTGATTGCCGCTGACGTGAATTCACGTCCATAACGTTACACGATACAAGTTTGCGGCAACTAGTTTCAGAATTTCATTATTTTCGCTGGTACTCAGTATTTGAAACGGAAAAAAATTTGCCGTTCGCGAATGTGTTAAGGGATTTGACAGTGATTTTACTTTGTACCAAGCTAGGGTATCAACGCCTTAGTTATTCAGTTTTTAGACGTTTGTAGAAAAAATCGCGATTACTGTGACGTTTGGTAATGCGCAATCCTGTTACTAGGTACATACATATAGTCTTCCATTTTCACATGAAGTTTATTCTGTTTATATTTACATATTTCATTAATTTTATCCTGAAGACTAATGAACCTAATATATTAATTCTCTAATAATTAATAAAAAGGCGATCCAATTATTGTGGATTGTAGATCAGTGAACACCTTTCTACCAAGATTGGTTTTATATGTACAAAGAATGTGTGCATTATTCTAATAAATTCTTCTATTATTTTAAGTAATCGTATAAGTTAGGGTAGAACTGCATAGATTAAAATCTTTTCATGATAATCATTTCTGTGTTTTTCGATACAATTTAAATTGTTTCTTAGGAAATTTTGTTACTCATCGGGTATTGCAAGGCAGCAAGGACAATATAATCCTTAAAGAAAATCGTTATTTAGCACCATTACGATGAATAATTGACGTATAACTTGACTAAACTTTTCTTTACACTGTGAAATCAACCTGTGCTTAACAGTTCATAAGTGGTAATTTTGCAAATAAATAGCGTGTCTTTGCTAGACTGCAATCAATACTTGTTAAAGTTAGTTTGTAAGCATTTCAGATGCTAACTTGATCAAATACTGTAAAATGGCGTATATACAATACTAAAAGTAATTGATGAGCACTTTTCTTTCAAATACAAGGAACTCCATGTCGATCCATCAGGGTGACTTGAAACATTTATAACAGTTAAACGTATCACTTCGTATTTCCGCTGGTGGAAAAACAGTCCACTTCTGAAAATGGATGTGACTTTAAACATGATTGCTTAGTAAATACTGTAATAAATACGTGATAATTAATAGCGGTTATTTTTGACGACTTCAGTCTTTGGCCATTCTTGCTTAATGGTTACTCCAAGCCGGTTCACTTGACTTTTCAACATTGTTGATGACGTATCTATTTCCCCTGCTGATTGACACGGGGATCGTCCCGGAGATAACTTTGAATTTGATTTCCAAGATCACGTCTAAACTCATTCACTGATACTTGTGATTGCTAAACAAAAGAATAAAAAACCATATCAATATATATCATTAAATTGTATGTACTTAGTAATTTCGATTACGGGAAAAATTCCTCAAAAACAATGGTGCCAAGAAATTTTGTTTCAGTTTATACGGTGATTAGTAAACGCATCAGGAGCGTGGTTATACCAGAAGATATCAAACCGTCAATAATAATTAAACATGGTTTAAACTAGAAAAGCATAGAAATTATTTAATTTTGTTGAATCAATCAGAAACCTCTAGTCAGTGGTGACAAACGGGTTGAAAATAGTTATCCACAATTTCGAAAATATGGACACATTGTTTTTCAAGGAATTTTTTCAGTTCCGATAAGTGATTTAATGTCATGTAAAGGCAATTGGAAAGGTATTAATTCTAGAATTTACATTAAGAGCGTCTCTCCACTCGATATTGAACAGTCGAACCAATCCTCTGAGATTTCTTCTTATGAGTCCCTGTAATTCCGTTCTTGTCAGTCTAAATGGCGCTGCTGTCGTGGTTGTCACTCTCTGAGTGACATTTGTTGATGTTTCATTATTATTTTCTCCCGGTCCGTTTGTTGTGCTAGCGGGGGTTATAGTGCTGCTTATTAACGGATTACTAGAGGTTGGTCTTTGAGTGGTCTCTGATGCAAAATTATTGCTAAGGATTGCGTTAATCTGTTGAACAGCCGACCTTGTGTCGTTGAATGTCTGGAAAAAGAACACAGGGCAAAATTGGCTTTCCACATACTTTTCTTACAGTTTCTCTAGGAAAAGAATTATAAATGGAATAAATAATTAAAAGTAATAAAATATCCTATTGGCTTTGTAATCTTTTCTGTGACGTAATGAAGTTTTATACATATTCAACTGTAATGCATAATATTAGCGGAGGAATTATATAAAGGATTTTATATTTGTGTTCACATTGAATATCTCCTGTCGATTGTATTGTGTGTACCAAATGTTTTATAATGTTTAGAATCAAATTACAATGTATCTTGTATCTTTCCAACTGTCATCTTGAATGCTGCTTGTTTTATTTACCATTTTCTTCGGGTCAATCTTATTTGCGATGATCTAAGAAAATGTTGGTCTTTCGAGGCTTAAAGAGATATGATATGATTTTGTGAGTAAGACGGACCCGTAAATTATTTCATATTTTCCAAATATGTGTATTTTGTGTGAGCCAAATGTTTTGTGTGTACCAAATGTTTTACAATGTATGTGTGTACCAAATGTTTTACAATGTTTAGAATCAAATTACAATGTATCTTGTATCTTTCCAACTGTCATCTTGAATGCTGCTTGTTTTATTTACCATTTTCTTCGGGTCAATCTTATTTGCGATGATCTAAGAAAATGTTGGTCTTTCGAGGCTTAAAGAGATGATATGATTTTGTGAGTATGACGGACCCGTAAATTATTTCATATTTTCCAAATATGTGTATTGTGTGAGCCAAATGTTTTGTGTGTACCAAATGTTTTACAATGTATGTGTGTACCAAATGTTTTACAATGTTTAGAATTAAATTACAACGTATCTTGTATCTTTCCGACTGTCATCTTGAATGCTGCTTGCTTTATTTACCATATTCTTCTGGTCAATCTTATTTGCGATGATCTAAGAAAATGTTGGTCTTTCGAGGCTTAATGAGATGATATCATTTTGTGAATAAGACGGACCCGTAAATTATTTTATATTTTCCAAATATACTTGCATCTAAAAAGCACCGAAAGTTAATAATATTCTTTTCGTGTAACGAAAGAACACCTCACGCATAAGAGAACAGGTTTTCAGAGCATTGGAAAGTGTCAAACGACGAAGTAACAGCAGGTATCAAGATAAAGAGCAGTTGGTTAAAGACCGAGAGGTTTTACTGTTTCAGGATCTGGATCTTATTATACGCGTTCCACTAACAAGTTGTAAGATTTATTCAGATTGCCAGGTATGGTAGAAGTGAAATGGTACTAAAAAGAGACCGACAATGTGTACACGTTTTCTCCCGAAAAGAGCAAGGCTAATAAAATTGTGCAAAATAGAATACCGCGTATTTTTCATGAAAGTTCGTTCAAAGGTCATGATAAAATTTCAAAATTTGAGAAAAACTATTCGGAAACGGACAGTTTTGGAATAGTACGTCATATGTTAAAGAATATCAACGATATGGTTTCATTGAATACGTGCAAAATACTTCTGATTAAATTGACTCGCTTAATTCTCGACTTGTTATGAATAGGAAATAGGTAAAGTTAATAAAAACATTATCTTAATATTCTTAACTCTCTTTACCTACCTCAAATATTACCCTTCCTAAGGTCCAAAAGAATCCTGGCCGCGTAGGATATCGAATTTGTCTTGCAACTCGCTTTGCTTCTTCGTGAGCTTTCGACTCCGCCATTACTTGATCTTCGATAGCTCCGAAATTATGAAAGCCTTCCGAAAGTAACTCCTGCGAATCGCCTTCCAGACCTTCATCGATGACGTTAATTTTCTTCATCACCAACTTTCCTGCATCGTCCTTCGCGTCGTCAAATTCGATATCGTTCAATCTCTCATCCTGTTCATCATTGAACTCCTTTTCATCTTCGAGTAAGGCGGCATTTTTGTCACTTTCATCAGAATAAAAACGTCCAGGCACACTATCCTCCTTGGTAACTTGGTTCGAAGAGCCTGAAAAAATCTCGGATTCTGGTATAGCCAATCGTACAGGTAGGATACTTTCAAACGCTGGATTGTATTGACTTTTCCAAGAATTTGTTCTCGCTTCGGAGTCATAATTACCCTCTGATGTCAAAGGTACGTATTCGGTATTTTTCTTCTCTCTGATATCACCGTTGCGGGAATATTCTCTACCCTGTCGTCTCATTTCAATTTCATGTCCGTGGTATTTTTCATACAAAAGAGGCTCGACTTCAATTGATCGCTCGGAATAAATCGGAACTTCTCCGGTTGGAAGCCATGAGTCCTTCTGCCGTTCTCCTTCAAGAGGTGTGAAGAAACCTAGCAGCAACCAAGTCATCGTGAACGCCCCTGTAGAACGTGGAGTCATCTAGAACAGGATCGGAAACCAGTATTTATTACCGAGCTTGGTTTGCAGACGGAAGTATAACACGGACATTGCACCGGGATACTAAGAGATGTCCACAACGCAATTGCCTATGTACCGATATGTTTACTTTAACGTCCAAGTGAATTTATTTCAAAATTAATTTGGAAGAAGTTATAACGCATCTCGCATATTTGAAGAACTATGGAAGGATAGTTTAACACGATACATTATTGTTAAAAGTAATTCTAACAACGTTGCTATATGACTGATTTACTGACTTGTTTACCTTAAGGTCGAAGAGATTTACTCCAATTCCAAGATACAATTTATTTAATTAAATTTCAATCGCATCTCGCATATTTGAAAAACTATGGAAGGATAGTTTAACACTTGATACATTATTGTTAAAAGTAATTCTAACAACGTTGCTATATGACTGATTTACTGACTTTACCTTAAGGTCGAAGAGATTTACTCCAATTCCAAGATACAATTTATTTAACCAAATTTCAATCGCATCTCGTATATTTGAAAAACTATGGAAGGATAGTTTAACACGATACATTATTGTTAAAAGTAATTCTAACAACGTTGCTATATGACTGATTTACTGACTTTACCTTAAGGTCGAAGAGATTTACTCCAGTTCCAAGATACAATTTATTTAACCAAATTTCAGTTACTTTCAGTATTTTAGTTTCAATACAATAATAAAATTATGTTCTTAGGGTGATTTTAGTCGTAATTGCCTAACGTGCCTCATTTAAGTGTCTTTATAATAATTTCTTACTTCTCATAAGACCCAGTTTGGTTAAAAAGAAAGGAGCAAGTATCCTAAAAAAATTGAGGAAAAAACCATTATAATCCTTTCTGTCGTAATAATGTTGGTCATTATCTTCGTACCTCACTATACATCCTCATTTATGACAATTATTTCCATTATGACAAACAAATAAAATAACGAACAGAGAAAATACGACAGTATCATTCGTGCATATTTGATATGTGAATATATATCTAAAATATATGTTCGGTAGCGGTTAATAGCCTTACTTCTTGCAATTTCGCCGTTCGTTGCAACTATATTACAATGCATAAAGAAGCAAACTACTAGATCAGAAAAAACTTGACAGCATTCTTCTCAAGCTTGATAGATGAGTAAATAATTGAAATATATTCTTGGTAGTGGTCAGTACCTCCCCTGTCTCGGCGATATCTCTATTAGTAACAATTTAAATCACCGCTTCATAAAATATCGAAACATCGCCCGCTGGTCTTTTATATTTTAAAGGTACAAAGTTACAGTAAACTCCCATATAAAGTGAATTTCTAAAGCGCGCAAAAGATGTTGCGATGACTTTTTTATATAATGCAATTCTCCTACAATGCGTCATATAACAAAATGTGGGAATTCCCCGTTTACCTCAGTCGAGTAAGGAAAATTTATCTCTATTGCTACCGATTTCTTCCGTTTCGTAATTTTTTGAGGAAAAAGCAAAATAGGTCCCGAAAGTAGTAGTCCCACCCGAATATGTTATTTATATGTTTAAAAGGTTTCACTAGCGGAAAGAAGACTACCAATACCAAATAAAGTTGTTATACGTGAATGGTTGAGATGACGACGCAGCACCCACGTATACCCTGTTTTACCGACCACAAAGATTTCGCCCCTTTGAAAGTAGTTCCAATTTTTAGAGGGGTATAAAGGGCGTAGAGGGCGCCAGTGGGCCGTGCCTCGCTTTCAAACAATGGCGTGAAACATCTCCCCGCTCACCTCTGTTTATATTATTCTTGTATAACTCGATTTCAAACAACGCGTAACGTATCAACAACGTTATACGGGAATCTACCGTAGTTCTCTCTCTATAAAATACTTCCACTCACCATTCGCGGTAATATTTGAATCTCCCATGGCACGGGGAAAAACCTTGAACGTTTTACGTATCTTTACTTGAGAGATTGTACTATTCCTTCAGGGTTCAAAGTGTCGCGGCACTAACGCACTGGCGGGCAACGAGTTGTGTAAACCAGTACGGCCCTGAAAAACGTTTCGACGTCACTGGTAAAACCGGGTGTAATTTTTCTGAGGTACCCAATCGCCCATTTTGACGAGCCAATGGGAGGCCAATGTACATACGTGATGTCGGCGCAGCGCGTGAACCGAATATCTCGATTGCCGCCTTTACAAAACGGAGCTCGGCCGACATGCGCGCCACTCGCACTCGTAGCGGCGCCGACGCGAACTACACTCGCGGCCCGTAACTCGCGTAGAGGACTTTCTACGTAACTTCCTGGACGCGCGGCCGAAGGTTTCCATCGATTACGAAAATGTGAGGTTAGGGCTAACCGCTTCCACGAAGGGGGCGCTGCACGTTACGCGCAGACTCCGCTATCCGTCGCGCGGGAATCCCATGGAAAGTCCGACCAACGCCAACTGGGCGATTGCGTAAATCGATGTCAGTTTGTCCAGAGAAAACGTGACTTCACGAAGGTAATGTTATGTCTTCCTTTTTAGGACGTTACCGGAACAAACGTTTTCAGGTTACTTGTGAAATTATAGATTTCAGAGTTACGGCTTAACGGAAGGTAGTCCGGTCTTATAGCGGATTCATTCTCTATTGTAAGTCTATATGCTTTATTGGTAATGGTAAAAGTAACGTGATACTTGAGATTATATGTGCCCATAATTATGAAAGTGGTCTAAGTCAAAATTGAAAAAAAAAATGAGTTTATCAGTTATTTCACGTCACATTATTTTAAACTAAATTAATTCAATGTAATTTCGAAACAAAAAATATATGACTTAGACCACTTTCATAATTATGGGCACATATAATGATAATTTTAGAAATCGTTAAAAGTGCATTAAATATGTCGAGGTGGAAATTTATGTATTGAGTATTTTCTCGCTTCATTGTAAATAGTTTTGAGTTTGATCGCCAACTCGGCGATTGCGTAAATCGATGTCAGTTTGTCCAGAGAAAACGTGACTTCACGAAGGTAATGTTATGTCTTCCTTTTTAGGACGTTACCGGAACAAACGTTTTCAGGTTACTTGTGAAATTATAGATTTCAGAGTTACGGCTTATCGGAAGGTAGTCCGGTCTTATAGCGGATTCATTCACTATTGTAAGTCTATATGCTTTATTGGTAATGGTAAAAGTAACGTGATACTTGAGATTATATAGTGATAATTTTAGAAATTCTTAAAAGTGCATTAAATATGTCGAGGTGGAAATTTATGTATTGAGTATTTTCTCGCTTCATTGTAAATAGTTTTGAGTTTAGTAGAAGTTATAAAAATTCATTTTTCAAAGTAATAAGTAATAGTAATATGTAAGTTTCTGTTATTAGCGTTTTCATTAGCTGGAAGGAAAGTTTCTACCATGTATTAAGGTGGCTGAAAGTTTTCGAATGTCTTGTTCCATCCGAGATTAATAATACATGTACTTCAATAATACACGCAATGCGCCACAATGGAATGCGATCACGTAACCTTGCTTCTACCGTGTAAGTTTCGTACAGTTAACGATGTACGAACTTAAATGATAACGTGGCTCCGTGTAACACGATAGCAAAACTAAAGTCTTCATTTTCAAGTGTTCTATAAGGAACATTACATGCCCCTAAATGGTATCTATCCGATGTTTTGAAATACCCCGCTTTGGAAGAAAATAAATGATTTTATTCCGTCAGTTTAAACCTCGTGTAATTAATTACACGTAGATCGAAACAACAGATTCAATGCGTCGTCCTAAAACATGACTCGGTAACCTTTATCTCCATTTTCGGCGTTTTAGAATTAATTATTAACTCCACGTACACTGGGAGACATCAATGCCGTCTCATCCTGCACAGGCGATGCCGCATCTGCAGGGGAGGCATTCATGTCCGCCATTGTACCTAGTCCTTCGAACGCAGTCAAAGTGGACTAAACCTTCACTTGGCACCTTACAAAACCCGGATTTCAGCGGGTCAATAACCCGAAAATTCCTCACCGAAACCAAGCTCGTGGTCTCAATCTACATTTCAAATCTCCTAAAATTAATTATACATGCACCGAAACTTTTGGAATGCGGCTGCACAATCTGACGGCTTCGGGCCTCACAAGATTAATTCTTCGGCTCACAAACTGAAAACACCGGAACATAATCTCATAATCTTCCGGCCACGCGTATCAAACCGCACGAGCGCACCTGAATATCGTGCAGAGGCCAATCGGACGTCCAAGTAAACTTCCTTATCCCTTATCCGAGCACTTGTCTTCGGTCTCCACTCTTCGATCTCCACGATCGATCGTCATATCGGATATGGACGGTCTGCAAACGATCGCTCTTCCTTCTCGGCGATGTTCATAATCGGCGATCGCCGATCGCGATCGCGCGCTCGAAATCCGTCGTTACCGCGGATCGGCACGCGCGAAACTTAAGCTGTCTGTGTCGGTTGCGACCGGGACTTGGTGGGACCTGGTGGGACCACGTGGACTCTCGGTACCTCAGCCATCTTTCACTTTCACTCTCCGGCCACGTGTTTCGCGTATCGGCTCGACCGATTGCGACCGATCGGTACCTCGCACCTGTCGATTTTCGTCACACCCGGGGTTTGTTCCAGATGTTCGAGCCGATATTAAGGCACTGCATTTCCATATTATTTTAAGGAACTGCGTTTTGTCAATTCATTTAATTTAAATTGCGAAAGATCGATACTTTGTACCTGTCGATTTTCGTCACGCCCGGGGTTTGTTCCAGTTGTTCGAGCCAATGTTAAGGCACTGCATTTTTATATTATTTTAAGGAACTCAATTCATTTAATTTAAATTGCGACCGATCGGTACCTCGCACCTGTCGATTTTCGTCACACCCGGGGTTTGTTCCAGATGTTCGAGCCGATATTAAGGCACTAGATTTCCATATTATTTTAAGGAACTGCGTTTTGTCAATTCATTTAATTTAAATTGCGAAAGATCGATACTTTGTACCTGTCGATTTTCGTCGCGTCCG